GGTGTGTGTGTGTTCGCCCCCTGGCCATACTGCTATCCTAACATTACAATTCTGTCTTCATCCCTAACAACCTGATTTTATTTGAGGAAGGACAAAAGAAATGGAACCAAGGGAGGAATGGAAAGCTAGGAGGAAATCAGCAGATATGGCCCACCCTACACCATTTGAAAGCGCATTCATATTCAGTAATCATACTTATGAATTAAAGTATAATTTTTCATATCCCAGTAAGTATCTAAGTTACAAAATAGAAAACTTAAATAGAGTCCAAATGGTACAACTCCCAAAAAAGGAAAACTAAGTAACATTATCAATATTATTACAAATGGAAGTGTATGCCTAAGCATGCTTGTCACTGGTGTGTGTGTGTGTGTGTGTGTGTGTATGGGTAGGTAGGGGAGAGGGGGAGGGGGAAGGGGAGAGGAAGAAGGAGTCTTCCATCCATCCACTGGCTCACTCCCTAAACGGCCGAAATGGCCAAGGTCTCCCATGTGGGTGTAGGGGCCCAAGCATTTGGGCCATCCTCTGCTGCCCTCCGAGGCACACCAGCAGGGAGCTGGATCATAAGTGGAGGAACCAGAGCCCATATGGGATGCTGGCAGCAGGCCCCTGATCACATTTTTCAAGTTCCTGTTATCTTGAGAGCTGCTTACGGCTTGGTGGCCCAGGCCCAGAGGATACAAGGAGCCAAAAGTTACATATCAAGCAGCTGGGAAAGGGCAGAAGAAAACCTGACCTGCAGGTCTAAAGAGGCCAGGACAGGATGGATATCTAAAGATGTAACTCTTTCCACTGGATATGGGTAGGCAAACAGCTAGTCAGCAGCAAGGAGCTAAGCACTACCAACACGCCCGCTGCCTGCACTGCCCCAATCCCCACCACCTTCTATTCCCATTCAACAGGGATGAAAGCTCAGCACACCCACGCCCCATGCACCTAAGCCTCACTTTGCATCATGCAGGAGACCCCAGGACTTCCTGGAGGCAACCACTCAGGAGTGCTGCAGCCCCACCCCAAACCCTGCCTTCTTTGAAAACCCAGTCAGACTCTGCTGCAAGCACCACCCCTCGCCCTACAAAAGGACAGCCCACCCAGCCTTGACTGGGACAATTTCCCTGTGTGAGGTCTCCAGCATTCACACCTGAGTGTGCACTGACCCTCTGCTCATCAACACACCCTGCTTTCCTGCTCACCTGTACCCGTGGTAAGCGAGCTGTCTTTCTATAGGTGGGAACACAAGAACCTGGACCAAGTCTAGCAGGGGTCTCTGGGAGGCCAGCTGGGGTCCTGATTCCTACAACACATTGACCAGGAAGACCCAGGTGCTGAAATCCCTCTTGCTGTAAACCTCAACCAAAATTGTCTGGTTCCAAGAGCCCTCAGTCAGAACTCAGATCACAATGCTTCCTCATTGCCAACTTTCCCCACCTAACTCACAAAGTTTTTTCCCAGACTCCCAACTAGGGACACAGATTGGAGCCAGGGCTGCCATCTCCTCATCTGGTCAGTCACACAAACAAAGCTTTTCTTTTCTCAGAAGTCCCACCTCACAGATGGGTCTTTGTGTGCATTGGCAGCAAACCTACCTCATTAGGTAGCAATATGTGTATGTCTTTCGGTAGTGATGAGAAAGTGGACACAACTTCTAAATTTTAAGAAAGGTTTGATCATAAGTTAAATACTGATGGAAAACTAAGAAACCAAGCTATGCCAATAGCAGAGAAAGCTAAAATAGATTTGTAAATATTCTATGCATTCCAGAATCAATGCCTGGAACACTAAGTAGGTTGCAAACAGTATCTTAAGTCTCATCATTTATGTTTAGACCTGCCTTGCATGGTGAAAGCAACAATGTCACTCACTCAATTTAACATTAAGAAAAAAAATAAGTCATCTATAGCATCATAATTCTTTATAAGATTATCAGAGAGATGAGGTTACAGGGTAACCAAGAAAACCCTATTCCACATAGAAAGAAGCTCCTTCGAGGAGAGGTAAGACACAAAGTGCTTCACCTTTGGGAAAACATAGAAGAAAGAGAATGGCCCAATCTGTGTGTAAGAAGAAATCAGGTAAGGTTTTTGCGGACAAACTTGTTTCTCTGCCTATTGATACAACCCATGGTGGAGTGATCAACACCAGCACTGGGCCACTTCACAGAGCCCCTGTGCAGATACACCAATAGTCACACTTCTACAAAGTGTATTTTACATTAGTAGGCACTGTGATACAGTGGGAAGACTGTCAAATGAAATGAATTCCAATCTAATCTTTCTCATTTCCTCTTCTTTTGAAGATCTCTTCAAAACCCCACAGTGAATAATTTCTGAATCTCTCATGTTGCCTCAGGTTATTGCATATGGAAAAGAAAAGGCTGATGGAATTCAGCAAGGGAAGGTGGCTACTGTGTTTGCTTCTTAGACTTAACAAACACATGTGTTCAGGCTGGCATTGTGGCACAGTGGGGTAAACCACTGCTTGAGACACTAGCATCCCATATTGAAGTGCCAGTTAGAATCACAGCTCTTCTGTTTCTGATCCAGCTTTCTAGAAAGGCAGTAGAAGATGGTCCAAGTACTTGGGCCCGTGCTTCCCACACGGGAGACCAGGATGGAGTTCCTGGCTCCTGGCTTCAGCCTGGCCCAGAATACATAAATATGTTTTAAAAATGTGTTCTACACTGAATATCCAATGAATCATCATGATGAACTATAATTAATTCCCATTTGATGGCTGATCCCTGATATAGGAATTTCCATACATAAACAATGAAGGCCATTGCCAAAAATGTTAATGCTTAGCATTTATCAAATCAATGCTTCTCTAAAGAACTTCAGCATTGACTCTATTAGTTCTATATTTATATCAAAAATGACAACAGCACTCAAAAGGCTATAGCTGTTTTGCTTTCACTTTTAAGTCACACTAGACTAAATATTACAAGTCTTCACTGATAACAGGATCATCTGTTATCCGGTCAGTGAAATCAAATAACTTTTGAGATATTAAACCTGGAATTTACTATGAAATGATTATCACAGAACATTTGGAGGAGTAGATACGATCAATTTTGTGCATGCATTTTAACACTGACTGTACTCCCTAGCTTAACACCCCAGTTTCAACACTATTAGTGGGAGAATCTTGGGTAGGTTAGCTGACCTAAGACTCGGCTCTCTTATCTGCAATACTTAAATGTTAACATTTAAACCATAGGATTGTGAAGACTGAAAAGCCTAATCCATTCGAGCATTCAGTGTGGCACACAGAACAGGCTATCAATGACCATGTAGGGTAAGAAAGGCTGGGACTAGTATCTTATCTCTTCCAACTTCACAGATGCAGAATCAGCACCACAGAATACTTTATTTAGGGAAACACACTTAGTAATAATGAATATAGGCTTAAAATACCGATTTTTGGTGTGGGCATTTAGCACAGTGGTTGAGATGCCATTTGGGATGCCCGTATTCCAGATCATAGTGCCTGGGTTCAAGTCTTAGCTTTACTCCCAGGATTCCTGCTGATATTCACCCTGGGAGGCAGCAGGTGACGGCTCAAGTGGTTGGCTCTCTGCTACCCATGTGGGAAATGTGCACTGAGTTCCCAGTTCCAAGCTTCTGCCTGGTCCCATACTGGCAACTCTGGGCATTTGGGGCGTAAAACTGTGGACGGAAAAATCTCTCTTTGTCTCCCTGTTTTTCTGTCTCTGTTTCTCTGCCTTTCAAATAAGTAAAATAATAATTTTAAATGAATGATTTAATTAAATGAAAAATCAACTTGATGCCTTCTAGATGTTATGGGTTTCCTTTTTATTAAACTCCTTCACTTAAATTCATAATTTAGTTTAAACATAATAAATTTTCAAAAAGTTCATGGAAAATCTGTATTGTGGAAAAAAATGCATATATCTCAAAAATGTTTGCACCAGAATAATTTGAACTATTTTACACAAGCTTTTAAAAATATTTATTGTTTATTTGTTTGGGGGCGGGGGGAGGAGAGAGCAAGAGGGAGGAGAGAGAGGAGAGAGAGACTTCCATGAGCTGGTTCACTCCCCAGATGCTGGCAACAGCCAGGCTGGGTCCGGCAGAAGCCAGGAACTCCATCCAGTCTCATACACTGGACTCAAGCAATTAAACCATAATCTGCTGCCTCCTAGGTACATTTTCTTTTCTTCTTCTTCTTTTTTTTTTTTTTTTTAAATGCATTTGAAAGGCAGAGAGAGAGAGAGAGAGTAAGCAAGCACACCAGCAATCCTCTATCCTCTGGTTCACTCCACAAATGGGCCAATACTAAGATACACGGGTGCAGGAGCCCAAGGCCTAGGGCCATCTTTCCGCTGCTTTCCCAGGTGCATTAGCAGGGAGCTGACTCAGAATTGGAGCAGCCAGGACTTGAACTGGTGCCCATATGGGATGCCAGCATCTGGCATCTCAGGCAGAGGCTTAACCTGCTACACCACAACACCAGACCCATCCCAGGTGCATTTTCAAGGAACTGGATCAGAAGCCAAGATTGGGACCAGGCACTTTGATATGGGATGTTGGCAACCCAAGCAGTGGCTTAACCTGCTATGCTACAAAGCCTACCACAACCACAAATTATTTGAGACACTCTCATATATTACCGGAATCATAATATTTTTGGTTAAAATTTTTCCAAGGTGAAGGAAAAAGTACATGTAAAATGGAACATATTACATTTATGTAATTTTTTAAAATGTTCCATAAATTCCTGCATCTTAAAAAAATTGAAAACAATCGAACATAAATTTGAACTTTGAATTAAAAAACATATAATTAATCAGACATACTAAGGAAATTGGTTCATGGTAGTTTATCAAAATAATTCATTTTTCTTACTATCTTAAATATAGTAAATTAACCTAAGTTGCAGTTATAGACTTTAATATACTTGCAAAATGATCACAAAGGGCTAACGAAGCAACAATTTTTTCACAGCAGATAAAAAGAAACATTGATTGTCAAAGTACTTACTGCAGCTTGCCGATGAGTATTGGATAATATTCCATGAATCTTTACTTTGTCTTTTTCCATTTGGTCTATGTTCACCCACAGATCCCGACTGGCTGAATCTGATGGACCATATATTCGAGATATATAGTAATTATGATCTGTATCCTCCTGCAATGATAAGAAACAATGTATATTAACAACAAAGATCTTGTTTCTTAATTCCTCATTTAAAGAATCTTCTTGAAATTAAAAATTTAGTAATCTTCAAAATAGTCAAGTTATTTAAATAACTGCTAAGGGAAGTGAATTAAGATAAATAAATATGTATAATTAGCATACAAAAATTATATAATAGTATTGTCAGATATACAAAATTAGAAGCAAATATATAATCTTCTACCACAGAGCTTTATCATTGCCATCAAACAAAAAGTCTCTTTTATAAGTATGTGCTGAAAACCTGAGCTATAATTACTTGAGTAACAACAAATTCAAATTCTCTTTAAAAAGAAAGTTAGATCTGGGCCTACTCTCAAATGATTGTCCTAGAAATGGAGATTGTATATTTCCCCTTCAATTTTGGTTATTAAATTCCACTTTTGTCTTAATTCTCATTATTGGTATCACCATGGTGCCTGTCACCAAGTCTTTGTTTTATGTTTCCCGCTCAATAAAGAGATTTTAATGTTTTAAAAGGCAATTTTGCTAAGGAGAAGCAAGAAAAGTTGCATGATTCTTGGCTAATTCTGATGTAAACAGAGCTTGTCACCATGAAATGCAATTGTGTTAATCAACTTGAGGAGTCACTATACAGAATATATTTTAAACATTCAGGTAAATATACAAACAATGCTTATAGAACAGAAAGTATGATTTGCATAACAAAGTTAGGGATATGAATTTTGTCTAATGCCATTTATTATCTAAGTGCTACTAAAAAAATTTGCAATTACTCTTGAGAAATCTAATCACAACAAGAATCCTGGGTACTTTTTCAGAAGTCATTAGGCACACCTATAAAATTGATTACAGAAAGGAAATGGATATTCTAAGTAGTAATCTAAATAGATTTTTTGCCTCATGACTAAAAGACTCTGACCCAAGCTGTAAATGCTAAGAACAGTGATTAAGTATCAACAGTATATTTTGTTGTTTTTAAAGATTAAGATCTTAGATATACCTCCAATTAAATTCTGGGTATCATATACAAATGATATGTGCATCCATGGTGAAAGAAAAGTCTGTAAAAAAAAAAAAAAAAAGGAGGAAAAGGGAGATAAAAAGAAAGAGGGACACAGATTCAGTACCGGGATTTCTAAGTTACTTCCAGAATGTCATGCTGCTGACTGACTGGGTTCCAGGAGAGTGAGAAGCACTGTGGTTGTGTCTTCACCATGCACTCACCTCTTCCTTCTGGTCTCATGCTGCACTGGGAACTTCCAGTGTAGGCACCTTCCCTGAGGCTGGACACAAACCGCTTTTGCACTTGACATTCTACTGCCCACAATGATTGGTCATGCACGAGCACATGACCTAAGAAGGACTAGTTAGTGAGGCTCAGGAGCTTGGGGAGACAGGACCTGACTTCCCTTTGTTCTGGGTACAGAGATGTTTCCTGTGAGACTTGGCACTATTATCTCCATTTTGCCACCATGAGGAAACTCTGCCTGAAGATTAGGGAGCCACACAGATGAGGACAGAATCATAAACGTTGTGAAGAAAAAGTCAGATCCCTGATCAAAGTATACTAGAGTATGACACTATTGTGAGACTTGCTCATTTTCATAAACCACTAAATCTCTAACTGTTATTTCTTTTTAACTCACATAAAAATTGTACATATTTATGGGGTACACCATGTGAGGTTTCAGTACATGTATATACTGTGTAATATCCCATCAGGATAAACATATCTGTCTGCTCGAACATTTAACCAGGCTTTATGGAGAAAGCATTCAAAATATTTTTAGTTTTCTTTTTGTTGTTGTTTTCAGAGAGAAATATATAGTACATTATCATTATCTACAGTCACCCTACTGTGCCAGAGAACACCAGAACTTTTTATTCCTATGGAACTGCAACTTAGTACCCATTAATCAACCTTTCCAGGCTCCTCTCTTCCCCCTACTCCATTGTTAGGTTATTGTCACACAAAGGAAAAAAATCAAGTTTCTAAAAAAATCAAGTTTCTCTTACTTGCAGCCAAACCTATGTCACATGGAATAAGGAAATCTTGACAGATTTATTGACCTGGATAACAAATACCTCCCCTTCAATTTTGATATTCTAGGTACTCACATAGCAGAGACAGAACCTGCCAGAAACCATAGATCTAATCATTGTAATAATTATTCATTTAGTTTTTCAATTAATAGTAAGAAGCGTGATTTTGAAAAAAATATTCAGTAAGTCTAAATAAAAACTTAATTGTTTTATTCCTATTATTATATTACTATTATAAAGTATTCAGCAACATCCTCACCTTGAGCGTGAGTCGTTCTGTGAGAAGTTCCTGTCAACATGGAATCAGAGTACAGCATAATTGCTGAAATTAACATTTGTAAAATAAATGGTATTTTTCATAATCCCTGAATCTTTGAAACCAGTTAAGCAAGAGTCTTGAATTTATCACAATGTACAAAAATGTCATTGTACATAAATAATGAATAAGATGCACAAAATATTCATGATTTTGCCTAATTACAATGTATAGCACTGATATGGCTATGTGAAATACACCTTCATTTTGACTTAAACTAGAGCTGCCAAATATCACATCTTTGAACATACTGAAAGAAAGACTAGAGCTTGCTGTTCGACTTCCATAGCCCAAGCTTGCCCAGTTGTCATGGCAACTTTTATTCAAAGAGGAAAACAATTTATTGTTTACCCAGGAATGTAGAGACACAAGTTGTTAAATTCCAGAGAGGTGTTTGGCTCAGATACTCCGGAAAGCCATGAAATAGATGCCTCAAAAATGTGACATTTGAGCACTTCTAAATTATTCAAACCACGACTTGTCTTTTTTATAGAAATGATAGTACTTAAAGAATTGTCAAAAGCCACTCCAGGCACAAAGATTTTCATTTTCTGCTCAAAAGCAAAGTATTTCTAACACCACAGAAAATAAAACAAAACACTACTGTGATAGGCTTAGTTGCCAATTCATTTAGGAAACCAACTGTTCCTGAAAGTAGATGGCACAGTGGGAAGTGATAAATCCTATAAATCCATGTTACTCAAAAATGCCTGGAAATACGCAGCTGTGGGCAAACAGGACGAACCCTGAAAAGGCAGAGGAAAAGTCATCATCACTACAGCTTAGCCATTCTGCACAAGTCAGTCTACATAATTACAAGCCCAAATGCCGCTGCCTTTCTACCAGGGGTGCTGAGGCCATTTTATTAGATAATTTCTGCAGATGCCTCACATTGCCTTGTATAGAAGTGGCATTTGAACTCCACATGCACTTAAGTATCATAAAAAAATAAATCAAGAGCATATTGCAGAATGAGCCCTGCATTTCACAAAACACAATTAAAATTCTTAAAGTTAATTAGCACTCAATCAATTGGCTACCTTGAAGATCTTCCCATAACAAATAAAGGAATATTATATTTTGAATCATTCTTTTCAGATGTCTTTTCAGATGTTAATAAATGTATCATACTTTGAGAAGAACGGCTTCCCAAGGTCTATACGGTTCTCTGAAAGGCAGTCATTTTAAAATAGCGTCTATGTCTACTGTATTGCTCAGAAATGGTTTAAAAATAACTATGATCTGAAATCATGTTAACAGCATAAATCAAAAGGACAGGATAAGAAAAAGAGTGAACTGACAGTATTCAAGCAAAAAAAAAAAAAATCCGAGATGAGCACATCGATGCTAACATGAGGAGAATAAACATGAGTAAATTACTTGTCAGGACACAGGAAAGTCTTATGATACACAACACAGGAAATAGAAAAGAATAATGATATAAATGTCTAGGACAGATGTATGGGCTGAATGTTTACATCCCCTCTCCCAAAGTCAGATGCTGAAGGCTCAGTCCCCAGGGTTCTTGTATTCGGGGATGGGATCTTTAGGGGGGTAAAATGATGGAATGAGACGGAGACCTGAGGGATAGGATCCTACATTTATAAGAGACATAAGGCAGTCACTCTTTCTCTCCCTTGCTCACCTGCTCCCTCTCCCTCCTCCATTTCTCTTTTGTCTTCTGCCCCGCTCCCCATTTCACTCCTCTTCCAGTTCCCCTCTACTGCCTTCTTAGAAGGTGGCTGTCTACTAGTGAGGCAGAGATTCCTCACCAAGAATCCAATCAGGTGTACCTTGATGTGGGACTTTAGCCCAGAGAAGGATAAGAACATTTCTGTTGTTTAACCCAATCTACGTTCTTTTGTTATAGTATCCCAAGCTGACAAAATATCATACCACCATACAAATTACAGGGAAAAGAGGAGATTAGATATTTGTACACATATAGTAGGCATAGAAAGAAAAATTTTATATCTTAAGATGTTTTTTTCCAAGATAAACAAAGACTTGAATGTGCATACCATGCACTTTGAAGTTTTCTGGTGACACTTCCCAAAGATTAAAAGAAGAAAAAGCAGTCTTACAGCACTCTAGAAAGACAAATCAAATTATTTATAAACAGGAAAAAAAATTGAATAGCCGGATACTTCTCCATAGTTTCTAGCAGAAATAATGTCTATAGCATCTTGAAGAATGACGTTATGACTTAAGAATTTCTGCCCAACCAACCTGTACTTTACATATAAAGGTAACACTTTTTTCTCTCTCTCTCTTTTTTTTGACAGGCAGAGTTAGACAGTGAGAGAGAGAGACAGAGAGAAAGGTCTTCCTTCCGCTGGTTCATTCCCCAAATAGCCGCTACGGCTGGCGCTGTGCTGATCCAAAGCCAGAAGCCAGGTGCTTCCTCCTGGTCTCCCATGCGGGTGCAGGGCCCAAGCACCTGGGCCATCCTCCACTGCCCTCCTGGGCCACAGCAGAGAGCTGGACTGGAAGAGGAGCAACCGGGACAGAATCCAGCACCCCAACCGGGACTAGAACCCGGTGTGCCGGCGCTGCAGGCAGAGGATTAGCCAAGTGAGCCGCGGAGCTGGCCAACATTTCTTTCTTTTTTTAAAGACTTATTTGTTTT